TGCTAATAATAATTTTTACATACTGTAAGTCAATGGTTAATGAAGAATAACAAGGTAAATACATTAGAAATGGAATTTACGACTCTTTGAAAGGAGCTGGATCTTATGGATCTGTTCTTTTCAAAGAAATGTTCAGTTCTGAATTTTATTGATTTTACTATGTACAACTGTACATACGGCAGAACGTCCTGACATACGGCCGTACCATGTTACTTGTAATAAAAATGCTTAATTAAATATTATATATTATATCTTAGCTATTTTGAGTGTCGCTAAAAACCTGCTGAAGTTGAGAAATTATGTTATATTTCTTTTAAATGGAAATATTGGCCAAAAACAAACAAACAAACAAACAAAAACAAACAAAGGTCTTGTAAACTGGCCAGGAGTTGCTCTGAGTTTTAAAGATTGGCCTCAGCCATAAAAAGATTTTAAAAAACAAACTATCAGTCGACCTCTAGTGACTTATCTTTTATCAGTATGATCACAAATCCTGGATCCTGTCCTGCTGATGTATGAGTACTGATGTAAGAAAAACAATCTTACATAAACCCAGTTTGGTTCGGATTGTGAACGCTTTCTGTTTAAATGTAAAAATAACATCTGCTTTACCTAAAATGAATGAGATTTGTTGGAAGGATCAAAAATAGAATTATTCCAGATGTTAAGGTGAACAGATAAATCTGACACATACTGTGAAAAAAAAACAACACAGGCTTGTTGCAGCCATGCGAGAGAAATGGAAAAGAGAAGAGGTCTGGTTTGACCTATTTAACAACATCTGGAGTATTTCCTCACATTCACCTTTCTGTTGCAGACCTATCAGCAGTGACACATTTTATTATTAGGATGACATTAAAGTCTAAATAAACCCAGATTTATGAGAGATTATAGAATAAATAACGATGTTCAGAAGCATAAGTCAGAATAAATAACGCTCAGATTGTTGTCGAGGAATCTGCATGAAAAGGTGGAGAGCCACATGAAATGACACAGATGAAAACTGGGGCAAAGTCAAAGCAGCAGGGTGGAGGGAGGGGGCGAACAGCGAGACAATTCAGAATAATGATAACCTCAAACTATTTTATCCTTATAGAGAAGAGCGCATACAGCAGCTCCAACCCCAGCAGCCCGAGTAATAAAACACATTTCAACTCCAAACACAAAGTTTAAGATGCAGAAGCAGAAATTAGTTTTTTTCTTCACGCTTTACCTGTCAGCTGTAGCTGTTGTGAAAATGGGTCACAAACATGTCTGACAGTGTTTTTCTTTTTTTGTCAAATAAACACTAACTACCAGACTTCTTCACTCAGCAGAGCCTCCRGAGCTCATCTGTCAAACAAAGACCTGTGCGTGACTTCCTCACATCTGTATTTTCTGGTCAGTTACTCAACAAAAATATGGCTTCCTCTGAATAATTTCTCTTTCAGAAAGGTCAATCTGACGCTTCCTCTCTGCTCTAATGGAGCTGCAGCTTCCAAGTGAGCCTTTTTATTTCATTGTGGAGGATGGATATGTGCTGCCAGACAGCATGAGCAGCTGAGTCCTCTTGCATCGGGGGTTTCAGGGGATATTGTTAGTGCAGCTTTCTCAGAGTGAAGAGCAGCCAGAGGGCACGGCATCACTGACCTGCTTACTGAGATAAAAACCATTGCAGTGACCTCGGAGCACAGAGGAGGACTCTAGGAGATAATAAAGGTGGAGAAATGCAGCAAAAAGCCCAGAAAGAGGAGAAGAAGAATCATCTGGAGCCTCTTCCACTGCTCTTCATTCTTTGACGTATCGATTTAAAAGGATGCCCCCCGAGCCCTCTGAACTATGAGGGTAATCAGCTAGAACTAAACGCTGACTTTACTGGCATCACTGCATGTCGCATTAGGCGCCCATCAGTAAAAATAACAACCAGTTTGCCCTTATGTGAGGAACCATGTCACGCTACGCTAACACGCTGAAGCGTGTGGGGGGCTGGAAGGATCCACTGTAAGAGAGACGACACAGATTTACTCCTCGTCAGGTAAAACCCTCTCAATCAGAAGACTTGATGCAACTTTTTAAAACGTTTTCCACTTCAGTTCAAACTCATTTATTTCAGCAGAGATTTCCATGAAATGCAATAGAAAGATGAATCTTTGTGGAAAGTCTGAAAGGCTTTCCAAAACTATCTGAAAGCCCCTGAAACAATCAGAAGTAAAATCCTGAGACTTATCATGAAAKCATTATGGAGAAAGTGTCAATTTAACAGAGGTCTGTAAAGTACTTAAAAAATAACTACTTGAAAGTAAAATTGAACAGAAAATGACTTTGGTAAAAAATAAATTTCACTGATGAGAAAATGAGTCAAGTAAAAGTCATAAAACTGTTCACAAAAATTGTGAAAGTAAAAGTAAAAGTACATTTACACACTCTCTAAGAAATAAACTGTTAAATATACTGAACCAAACTGGTTCCACTAAGTCAGGTTGAGTAAACTGAGCATTACATGTATACTCTTTGCTCAATTTACTCAACTAGGCTTAGTGGAGCCAGCTGACATGACTTTGTTGAGTAAATTCAACACTTCATTTGTTACAGTGCAGAAACATCTTCTTTCATGATGAGTTTGAACATATTTAATTTTGTAACAAGTAACTAGGTGTTAAATTTTAAAGTAAAGAAGTAAAAG